TGAGACCGAAGGCGTTTTAGTCATGGGCATCAAATTATTGAAAAAACCTATCGCGAAGTGTTGCGATAAGCATGAGCCTATTGTGGCTGCTTTCTTGCCTAGAGCACGTAACTGTATTTAAACGAAGTTTTTACCTCCAATGAGGCAGAAGATCTACTAAATTTGCAAATCAGGGTCAGATATACTTAGAAGTCGTTAACCTAGAAGACTTAATGCATGACGTGTAGGGGCAGTATCAACACACTCGAGAGTTCCCAATTGTGTAACTATATTAGAAAACCCAATCAGTGATCTATTAATTACCCACTGGTGACCTAACACTTAAATACCATTGCAGTTATTTTTTAAAGTACTAAAACAGCGGGTGTGCTCTCTAAAACAATGTCTAATCATTTTTTTTATTTCTTCTTTGCATAATGATGCATGTGGGCATACGAAATTTTTCAAATTATTCTCACTCTCTCTTTCTCTCTCTGTTCACATTACATCTGAACAGCAGACTATGCAGTCTGGACATAATATTTTAACTGGAGCGCCTTGCCTTTGTCAGAAATGTCAAGAGCCTGATGAAGACAAGCCCACCTGCCAATGTATAAAAAAAGTTGTTTTTTCAAAGTCATAAGTAGCACTTTTATGTAAAAAATATTCTAAATGTCACAGCAATCCTGCTTAAATAAAGGCTTAGGTGACAGAAAAAAAAAGAAACCTAAAACATGTAGAATGTCCGTAAACCACACTCAAAGCAGGAAATGCAGTTTAATGCCGGAAAAAGTCTGAGTGCAATTTCGACATTTAGGTACATATAGTGTGCGTTCTAAAAATGTAACATAATATTTTTATACATAAATATACAAACCTTATAATACATTTAAATTTTATACTACATTTTATATATAGAAGTTACACCATTTAGTATGCAGTATGATACATATATTACAAAGTAATATTAAAATGGTCCCCAGTCTCATCTGACACATCATCTCATACACTGAACATTCTCTAACACATTTTATGTCATCTGTTACATATTCCTTTTACTTTTTGTGAAATTAAGACCTATAGCTCTGTTCTTGCCCCTTTATGAATTTTAACAGAACATGCCAAAGCACAACCAAGATATTCCCCTCCTAGATGCCTACTTCAATTTTGCTTTTTCTTTTTAATAGAACAAGTTTCATTCCAGCATGCTCAGCAGCTGTATAGAAAGGGCAATCCGGCATTTTAGATGTGTCAAAGCAGCCAGGTGTTTCTGGCAAACCCTCTTTATGATTTTTACATTTTTGCAATGCCATTATAAAAAAAAAACTGTATACAGAGTGATGAATTGCTGTAAAGAATGCAGTCGCATGCAAGGCCACAGAAGGATTGTTCGTGCGGCCCGTGTTACCTCGCCTAGATGTGTGCGAATGTTTTAGAAATAAATAGGCAAAATCAACACCTCTTGTTAAGGTTCACGTGAATTCTTCATACAGAAAACCATACTGAAACCTTCATTGAAGATACTACAATTGAGTGTAGTGTTTGAATGGTATCAAAAACATGACAATAATATCAACATGCTACTGTATAATGAATAGACAATACTGATAATGAATACCAATAATAGTGTGAACCAAAACTATAATCTGAGTGGAACACCACATACATGGCATCTGAAGCCTGAAGAATTATATCCTAAATATAGGATTGCTGCTGAGTAAGGCACAAGAACAACGAAAACATGGTAATTACGTCAAGTGGACAGCCAATACATCTTCGCATCTGTCAAGATGCAAAAACAAGAGACAACTACATGAGATACAACATCAAGGCTGTTTCAGACAACAATGAATCAACTTAATCTAGGCAAGTACAGCTAGCAGTGACTGACAGTAATGACGAAATGTCTCAGAAATTTCCCCCGTCTGTAGCCAAGCCAGGTTTACATACAGGATGTCAAAGAAGCTTCCCGTTCGCCCATCAGCCTGTTGCATTATAATGTACCTTTAATTTGTCACAATTATTGCTTACTACGCAACAACATCAGAACTCCCGCAAAGTGTTTTTCCATCACATAATGTGTTGAGGCAATAAAATTATGAAAACACGATCTGTGGAGTAAGATTAGCTGCATGATTGATTAAGTCTGAGTGCACAACTAATGTGTTGGCAGGTGGGCTTGTCTTAATCAGGCCCTTGACATTTCTGACAAAGGCAAGGCACTCCAGTTAAAATATTATGTCCAGACTGCATAGTCCACTGCTCAGATGTAATGTGAATAGAGAGAGAGTGAGAATTTATTAGAAGGCAGAGAGGTCGGCTTGGGCAAGTGCGCTATAGCCTGCTACTCTACACAGGGGATAAGGGAAGGGAGAAAGGAAGAGGGATGAAGGAGGATGATGGAGACAGGAAGAGGTGGTGCATATGTACAGTACCCGCTTAGCATAGTACCCTACAGTTTACTATCCAGTCCAGTGCTTTTGGTGAAGTCTAAAACAGCCCTTGTAGCAGTTTTTGACACTGTTTGGTCGCACATTGCTGACAAAATGTAGCTTTCACTAAGTGGTGTTCGTCAGATGCTTGCCAACGTTCAAGTTAGCTTCTTCCTTTGCGCCACGTATAAAGGGCAGTCACGAAATATATGAGCTAAAGTTTCTTGCACTTGACTTGTGCTTTTGGTGAAGTCTAAAACAGCCCTTGTAGCAGTTTTTGACACTGTTTGGTCGCACATTGCTGACAAAATGTAGCTTTCACTAAGTGGTGTTCGTCAGATGCTTGCCAACGTTCAAGTTAGCTTCTTCCTTTGCGCCACGTATAAAGGGCAGTCACGAAATATATGAGCTAAAGTTTCTTGCACTTGACTTGTGCTTTTGGTGAAGTCTAAAACAGCCCTTGTAGCAGTTTTTGACACTGTTTGGTCGCACATTGCTGACAAAATGTAGCTTTCACTAAGTGGTGTTCGTCAGATGCTTGCCAACGTTCAAGTTAGCTTCTTCCTTTGCGCCACGTATAAAGGGCAGTCACGAAATATATGGGCTAAAGTTTCGTGCACTTGACAAGTGAGCAGAGTGCAGTCCTGACACTTGTTTAATCACTGTTAGTGTGCTCAGGCGTGCACGTTGTGCTCAGGTGTGCATGTTGAACCCTTTTGTTTCGTATGAACCTGACAAGCGATGTTCAGCAAGTTCAAAGGACACATCGAGGGTCACCGAGGTGATCGAGCCAGTGCTTTCTGGCTGAAAGTGCTTCCCAGAACTTGCAATCTGCACATGTTATTTCAACACGCAGCAAGGCAAGGTATGTTTGAAGTGCCTACTACTTATAGAAGCCTCGGTGCCAAAGGAAACAAGGATCTTCTTATCGGCAAGGTTTTTGCATCCATGAACGATGCACACTGCTCGCCCAGAGCCACTCCTCTCGAGATATCTACGCAAGTGCCTCGATAACAATGAGCTGACTACAACAGCCGATGCACACTGGAAACAATGCAAACACTGCACAGGTGGGCCGTTCTCTTTGAGCAGGTACGAACAAAAATTGGGATTGCAACGAAAATAGGAAAAAAAATGCACTTGGCCTCTCAATACTTCCTTTCATGCCTCGACTTTCATTTAGTTTAGGTTAGCAGTAGAACAAATTACTGGCACATCAATTGACAACCAAAAACCTTTAAAAGAAGCACTGTGTTCCTATCAGTGTAAGTGGTTCCCAAGCACAGAGGCAAAACATCGATCGACCAATTGGTGGCTGTACTTCCTATGCATGTACAAGTTTTTCTCATGCTTCGTGTGTGATTAAAGGAAAAATACATCAACGAGACTCAGATGACATACACGTCGAATGGAGGCTCAGAATCCACAAGCTATGTTTTGTCACATCCGGGGGGACCTGAACTGTTTTCAGGACAACTCTGCATTCCAGCCCATTTACAGTTTCTGGGTGGCATCATTTAGCTCGGCACGCAGCTGCAAATTCCAAATCAGGGACACTAAACATTTTTTTTTAAAGAAGTAACGATACCGGTGGGAGCACTTTACGATGAACTAGTTGAAGTGGAGCCTTTCGATGGCGTTTGCGAGTGATCGCTGACGAGATAACGCGAGCGGGACTTTCGGGGGGGGGGGGGGGGGGGGGGGGGGGGGGGGGGGGGGGTCGCGCACTCTCAACCTTGAATCAGCCACGGCTGCTCGTCTAATTAGCGTACGAATTCCTCGCACAGTGATCTGTGTTTTGGAGGACCAAATAAAAGTTTATCCAATCCAATCCAATCCTCGCAGACATTTTTTTTTTAATTATGACAGTCAGTGGATGCATAGAGATACGTGCGAAGCGGCCCGCAGCGCTTGACACACCGCCTGCTTAATGACGAGAACAATGGAAAGAGTCGATCGCCAACGACGGTACTTGCCCATGACAACGCACGGGCGCCACCACGGTTCGTGAAACGCGGCGTTGTTCGAGTGCGATCCGGCCGGGATGTTACGCCGCGGTCACGGCCGACGAAATTGTCGCTCGTGCGTGGTACAACCGCGAAGACATGCATCGCCGTTCGCTGGAACGAACGGGTACGCGCCATCACTTTCGAGCGCGCTCAGTTTACGATCGCTGCCCGAGATCCCGCGGGCCCGTTTTTTGACGCACAAACTTTACCCAAGCTCGCAGAAACCCGACGAACGCACGCCTTCATTGATGTAGAGTAGGAACAACGGGTCCCACGCTCAGTGCATGAAACTGCAGTTACCTGCCTGCAAAGTGTTACAGCGCTGCTAGCGCAAGCGGCTGGGCACGAAGGACCTGCAGCTTTTAGTCCGCGATACGATAACCCGTTCTTTCTTTCTTTTTTTTTTCTAGGGCGAAAGAAATGCAAAGCTCGTTATCGGCCGGCCAGCATGCAAAACGCATTGCGAGGCGACAACAGCAACACCAACGCGCAGTTGACGCGGGCACAATTCACGCGAGATTTCGCGGTACACCAGCGAGTTCGAAAGCGGCGAGCTTAAGGCAAAGGTAAACACGCTTACCTGATTCCGTCAAGCGTCGCTGGAACTTGTTCGTCGAGGCGAAGGCCATCGTAGAATGCAAGTCGGTCGCGCCGCCGTCAAACCGAGAGGGCGAATAAAAAAAAAAGTAAGCGGGAGATTCCAGCCGGAACACAAAACTAAAAGAGTGAGAACACAGAGAACACAATCACAGAATAAACACGGGGGGAAACGACGAGCGCTCCGAGTTGTCGCTATCACACACGACACACACTTCCCACACCACTGTCACTTTTTTTCCGTTCACCTGGCGAGAAGGTGTGCGAACTCGAGGCCACTTCGAAAATGACGGCGCTACTGAAACCACGCTCGCTGTTTATTGCACGGCATCGATGCACCGAGTCGACATCGAAGATACGGATTGCTCGACGGAGACCGTACACGTTGTTCCAGCTGCACACGGGGCCGACCGAAAGCACATGTTTCGTTCACCTTTTTCGAAGCAGTCCGTCTCGTCTCACACCCACGCGCCTTCTCTTCTCGACGATTTCGTGAGGCTACGAACGGGCCGAGAAAGCACACAACACTCGTGCAGACGACGATCCAATTGCAGTAGCAGACGATTCTTTCTCGACCCGCCCGCTTCGCCCGCACACAAAAGAGGGCCGCGCTAAATTAGAAAATATTTCGCACGCGCTTGGGCTGCACGGCGGAGCGGAGAAAGAACGGGGAAACCAGCAGCAACGCACAAAAAAACACGCACCGTGAGAGCTAGGAGCGAAGCACGCCAGCCTCCTGTTGGACCACAGCCATGATTCACAAGCTTCATAATCGCGGCGCAGGACACGCGTTGCACCGTGGGATACGCCAGCGCCCTCACCAATCCTTTGTAAAGTTTTGTATTTACTCTTCTTATGACCGTAATCGTGAGTTCTCGCTTGCGTACGCAGCACTATGGTGGCTGGAACTAGCCACCGTAGCAGCACTTCCCACCACTGAGCTCTCCATCTGCTTCCTTTCTCTTTGGTAAACTCTCGTTTTTTTAAGATATGTGCGTGAGTGAGTCGACTCTATTAATTTTACTCTTAAAAAAATAACCCAGAAACAAAGCTCAAAAAAAGGCACTTACTAGTTGCAGCGTCACCTAGGCAAAATTTACGAGATTCACATGTTGTTTTAATAATTAAAACATGTTCGTCTAATATCGCATTTTTAAAATAAAATATTCAAACTACATCAACATTTGAGTAGCTTTTGAAAAGTTATTCACACTATGCGACAAGGCACCCGTGGTTGCGGTTTTGTTATCTCAAAGGTCGTACATAAATAAGCATAGCCTTTAAGATTTAAATAGAAACTGAAGTTTTTATGTTTCAAGTTATATACAAATCAATATCTAAAACATAAAAACGGCAAAATTCAAACGCTCACACAAGTTGCAACAAACGTTGCGAATGCTTTTGTCATAGTACTAACAGGTAGCGCCATCACACTGTTGATAATGTTGACCATTGTATAGAAACTATTGTTAATGTTGTAAAAAGCTTAATATTAAACTTTAAAAGCATTTTAAAAAAACAACTAACTAGTTTTCGTTCTGCATTGTGTTCTATTATTAAAAGAAGGCAGCGTCTTCTGCGCCGCGCGGCGCAGCAGCCTTTTTTTTTTCAGCAGCAACCTTTTTCCTTCCTCTGTGCCCACACAAAACTGGCTTCTGCACTGCAAGGAAGTGACGTCACTTAAAAAAATTGTTACCTAAAGCTAATTAAATGTGTAAATTATTCGTGCGTGATGCGTTAAACCTACAAAACTTTTACTAAGCAGGTGTTTAACGAGTCAATTAGTCTAGGTTTGTTATTTAAATACATATTACAACTATTTTGATTACAGGGGGCGCAAGGGACGCTGCAGCTGCGAAAGGTAAACACTGCGAAATGGTAGCCGCCTGCGATGTGATAGGTGGTGAAAACTCCGATAAAATCGTGGCCATGGCCTAGGCCACTCCCAAGGAGGACTGGAGTGTCGTCGCTGCTTCATGTAATTGCTGGATGCTTAGTTGAACCTGGTGGTTGGAGCTAGCGTGGCCGTCCACCGCACCGCAGCTTCATCTGAGTGTGTGCGCCATAAAGTTTCTCAGTATGATGTGCGGATTACAATCGTTGGACATGCTGCGTTTTCTAGATTGCAATGCCAAGCGTGGTGTTGTCAAAGGTGAAAGTGTTCTTGCTGCCGAGTTTTGCTTGTCGCGAAGGACAAGGTCGACGATGAAATAAATGCTTTCGCACGGTTCACGTGTGACTGACCGGACGCGCATGCATGAAACACCAGTGCGTCGGCGAAGTGTTCATACGATGGATGGAAACAACTTTATTGTAATGTTCTTACGAAGCCTGTGATCTACGAAGGTCAGAGCAACTGCATTGCCGTCTGTTTTGTCAATTGCGAACACGTACGGCCGTTCTCAACCGTTGCTACGTGAATGCTCCCGTGCTGTCATAGGCCGCGCGTGTTATTGAGCAAGGCAGACAAGTAGTTAGATGGGCTAACGCCGTCGGCACTTGCCCTTGGGCATTGTTTGTCAAGTGCTGATCGCCGAGAACATTGCGGTGACACGTCAGTATTTTTAAAGAAAGCGGCCTGCCGGTTACCTCGTCAGGTGATGGTACACTGAGCCACATAAAAAAAGTTGCCCGAGACTACGTTGCAGTGCACTTTTCTGTCATCAAAACTTTAATAAACCGTGGAAATCAACATTCCTGGCACCTGTGCTGAAGAAACCAATGCAGCCAGCTGCATTCGAGTTTTTGTGTCTTTTTGCGTCTCGCCGATTAAGAGCACTAATTCGCAAAACACTTTATCATAATAAATATAGTCAATCCTGCAAGAGTCATCGAAGATCCAATATTAAAGGGCCTGTGGACGGGACCACCATCAGCAGCAAGTCGGGCTGATGAGGAGGCGCAAATGTTAAAACAGTACATGCGTGAACAAAAAAAAAGAAAAAAGCATTGATAACTGCAATGGAACTTGAACCACCGACCTCACCAGTTCATAGGTCCGTTCGTTTCGCCTGCACCACGTGAACCAGTTCACGAGGTGCTGCACCTTACCATTCGTTTCAGCGGTGCAGCATTGACGACCGCTGAACCCTGCCATTCGTTTCGAAAGGTGCAGCACCGGTTCACAATTTTCCTGCACCTCCTTCGCTGACGGTGCCGGCTTGGTGCAGGCGCGCGTGCAGCTGAGCAGACGACGCAGCACTTAGACGTAGGTGGCTTAGGCTCCGTACCTACCTCTACAAATGCGATGTGTTTTGCCAAGATGTTTGCGCCTCATAAACTGCCCACATGTGCGTTTCGCCATAGGTCGGTGTTTGCTGAATGGTGTAAATTAACCGAAAAGAAATAAGGCCAACACCTTGTCGGCACATCGTCATTTGTTTCGGGTGACGTGCTGTGCCTGCACCACTGAACTCACGCTGCACGATTTCTGAACTTCGCGTGCACAGCCGTGAACCGGTTCCGACCGGTGCAGGTGAATCGAACGGACCTCATGTGTTCATAGAGTCGCAGCGCACCGCCTGCTGCGACTCTATTCAGTTTTCCCCGTCTTCGCGATCTCTTAATTGCACAGCTGCGCACTCAACAAAAGAACGCGCGGTTTATTGCGTTATTTACGTCGCACACACACTCGCGGGCAAGTTCATCGCACTCGCGAAATGCACGGCGGACGACGCGCCGTTGATTTCCTAACTCCGAGACACAACCTATTAATTGCACAGCAGCGCACACAGCAAGAGAACGCACCCCGACGTCTGCAAGGCGCGGTTCATTCCGTTAATTAAAACGGCCAGCATCGCTCATGCACTCGCAAAATGAACCGCGGACGACACCGAACTCTCGCGAGGAAGCCACAACTACAGAGGCAAATTTGTTTACCAAATTTGGCGGCCGTCTGGCAACACTAACCCTCTCAGTCTGGCAACAACTTATGCAACGCCAAACAGAAACTAGCCGTGGACACTAGTCTAATTCGGCGTTTACTTAATTGTTTCTCATCTGTACCACGGGCCACGATTGCTTACCTGTGTTACATAACTGTGTATAGGCACCCGGCAATGCAGTTTAAGAGATCTGATGGTAGCGCCAGAACACAAAGCCTAGCGAGTAGGCGCAGCAAAAACGAGTCTTCCAATGCGTAACCTAGCGAGTAGACGCAGCAAACTTTCATGTGCGTATCATTTTCTTTTTTAGTTGTGAGCAAGGGGGTCGCGGCTGATTATGTAAGTGCCCAGGAAGAGTTCTTTGAAAACGTGCCAAAAGAGCACCGACACTTCAGCGTGGCACTGTGTTAAGCGAGCGTTCCATTTTTCTTAGTATCCCTGGCGGTCGGTACCAACAATGCTGAGGTAGGGTTCTAGCCACCCTATAGCTTCGTCGCGCCCTCTGGTCCACTGTCGAGTGCCTATTACGACATGCCTATCCTTTAGTACTACTCGTCTAATGTAACTTTCGTAAAGCGTGGTTTACAAGTTTTACACAGCGCTTAGGACGTGTAAATCACGGTGTGCAAATAAAATAATTTCTTTACAAATTGTAACAAAGAGGCGTGGATGTAATGCTTTAATCACCCCTTCAGTGTGTGCACTATTTTCGATTGCTTGTAGACTTCAATAATTACGTGAGCCGAAATAACATTTTTAGCGTTCGCATTGCGGCGGTCATGAACATATTGAAGAATGATAAAAATATCTTTTTTTTTTTCGTTTGTGTGTTCTCCGGGCTCCGGAGGTATAATTATGCTCTGGTGTGATCATTGTGCTATATAACTTGTTTCATAACATCACTATAGGAATATGGGATGGCAAATACATCAGGAGCCACTGAAGTGCAGCATGCACATTTTGCTGCAAACATTTAACTTGTTTTAAACATGACAATTTTTCTGATGTATATCGAATACAAAGCAGCAAATCAAAATTATGCAAATAGACACACAACACGCTACTGCATGAGTGTCGAGACGTTACGCTTTTATATTTCAATATGTACTTTTTATTTCCTTTAATAAGCCAACTGTTCAGTTGATGTTTTAATGTGATATACTCCTTAATGAGTTACCCTGCCTTTCCAATGTGTCACAGGATATAGTGAATTTGAATCACCAAGCTTCCTTCGCTATGTTACTGTTGTGTATGCAGAGCTTCCTTTTGCATTGCAATATACTGCTGTTTTTTCAGTTGAAGAATGACATAACATATCTGTATTCTTATTTGCTTGTTGTAATTGCACAACTGATGTGTCCTCATTGGCGTGTGCATCTTTTTCATAAAGTTAGAAAGTGTATTGTTCCACAGCAAGATGTTCTTAATTATATGGAGTTAGGTCTCTAAATAAAGTGTCTGTCATCCTTTGGGTGCAAATAACACTCTCAAGTCATTTTAATCTGGCTCATTCTTTGCCCTCCAATATCATTGTGCTTTCCCCACATTTTGAGTGCTCCCAACACCAAAAAAGTATCGTGAAATGAAAACGCCATTTCAAAGTTGCCTACTCACTTTGTTCATCAAAGAGTGCTGCTATTTAGGCATATCACACATTCACATATGCTAGTGCATAAAAGTTAATATGATGAAAATATGAACTGAAAAGAAAAAGTGACTAAATGCACACATCCATCTTGCCTGCCACTGCGGTGTCCTCAAAATACCATCGTTCAAAATAACTGACGTCAATGATTGCAAAATCACATGCACAACAAGCTTGATTTGATTATGTCTCACGAATTAGGTGGGTGATTGTTTCGGTACATGCCCTTATCAATGGTACTATATTGATTTAAAAGTACAGTGAATATGTACCAGCCATAAAGGCCATGTGTATACACCATATCAGTGAAGTTCTTCGGTTATCTGTCCCCAACAGCCACAGATCACAGGAAGCAGTTAAGTCAATGAGTGGTGCATATC